TCCCCAAAATTCATCAATATCAGGAGTTGATTGGGGTGGTTAGCTGTAGCAATATTTTCTCCCCAAGCATTGGTGTGTTACTGGCCACTTTTGTCAATTACTAAGAATATTACTTGAACAAGAGTATTTAAATTATAATAATAAAAATCAGCTCAACTTAGTCAATTGAACCAAACTGTTAAATATGTGCTTTAATCAATCCAATATAAAATTTTTATTATGACTAGTCTGACCTTAATTCAATTATGATTTAAACATAAATATTAAATAATTTTATTATAAACATTTTAACAATTTTAAAAGTTTATTTTTATTTTTCAAATTAAATAATAAATTATATAATTTATTTATAAATATGTATTATATTATTTTATGTTAAATATCTTCTACTGTTATCTTCTCCATATTTTTCTCAAAAATTAATAAATAATTAAATTTTTATCTTTCTCAAGTTAAATGCTTCCCCATCTCTTATTAAATATAAATTTTATCTAAAATTTTTCAATTATCTTAAAAAAATATTTTAACAAAAAAATCTATTTTAACCACATAAATTTTTTAATAGTCTTTTTAATAATTTTTAATTTTTAATTAATACTAATAAATTTACAATATTACAAGGATCTCATTTGTGTTTGATCTAGCTAACTTTTAATTATTCTCTACCTCATAACAATAAGGCACATTTGAATAATTTTTCACATTCTTCTTAGTAATAATCTGTTATAAAAATCATATTAATAATTTCTTTTTTTGTAACAATAGAAACCTAAACACTAGACAAAATTATAAGACATCCTTGTTAAAGAATCATTCAAGCTCAATAGATAGAGTAGATACCATGTATATATCAGGCTAAGCATCAAGTGTGTAGTGTGTCAAGTAGTTTGCAATGCTATTTGCATCTCACAATATCTATACAACTTTACATTTCAATACCATTTATGTATATGTATAATTTATTTCTCATTCTATATATAAAATAAGAAATTTAATTTCATAAATATATTTTGAATGATTTTATTTAATTTTAAGTTTTTAAAATAATTGATAAGAAATATTTTCTAATAATAATTTTATATATTATTTGATGCAGTTTAAATTATATTATTATTTCAAGAAAATTTTAATGGCGACAAATGTTATCACTAAGAAAAATTGTATAAATTATTTTTATAAAAATATTTTTGGTGTTGATGAAATGTCACTGTTAAAAGTAATTATATAAATTTTTTTTATAAAAATAGTTATGGCAGTAACAAAATATGATTGCTAAAAGTAATTATATAAATTATTTTTTATAAAAATACTTTTGGCTGCAATAACATGTCGCCACTAAAAGTAATTAAATAAATTATTTTTATTTTTAATTATTTTTTATAAAAATATTTTTGATGATGACACACTGTTGTTGATAAAAGTAATTAGATAAATTATTTTTAAAAAATACTTTTTGCAAAAGTAATTACTTAAATTATTTTTTTATAAAAATACTTTTGGTGGAAAGCAAATTGGCCCCGTTAAAAGTAATGCATAAATTATTTTTAATTTTTAAATTATTTTTTATCAAAATACTTTGGGTGGTGATAAAGTGTCACCTTTAAAAAGTAATTAGATAAATTATTTTTAGTTATTTTTTATAAAAATATTTGTCGCCTCTAAAAGTTAATTTTGATGGGGATAGTTAAAAGTTGTCGTTAAAAGAAAACTTTTGATGATAACATTTAAAAGTCATTACTAAAAATTAAGTTTTGACGTTGACTTTTAGCAAGATCTTCTTTTGATGGCAACTTCTAAATGGCGTCGCCAAAAGTTTCTTTTGTTTTTGTTTTTGTAGTGCTAGTTACTACTAAGAACTCATTAACAAGTGTTTTAGGATTATCAACTAACTTATAGCTAGCATGTTTATAATTAACCTCTTGAAATTTCAACAACATTGTATTTTTCAAAGATTTAGAGATTGGATCATATATATATATATATATATATAAAGTTTTACCTGATGATAAGTAGTTGCATTGCTGGTCCAATGGAAAGTTGGAAATAATTGTTTCGAAAAAGCTCTGGTCTTTAGGTTGAATAATCCTACCTCCCTCACCCTTGATGGAGTTGAATTGCGAGTTCGAGTTTGACCGGTGGCTGCTGATGATATATATTTCACTTAAAGATCGACTTTGAGACTTGGCTTGAATAAAATCTCACGAATTTAGGGAATAAAATGTCAGTTTTCCTTAAATATATCATCATAGTACCGATTCTAGCCTCTTAGCAACCATGACTTCTGGCCATGTGTTGGTAGACTACTTATCACTTGGACAATATTCATCTGCTGGCACACAATTACGTATTAAGACCAATTTGTTATCTTCGATCACCTACCAATCCCATCATTCCACGTCACTCTTTCACGTCATTTCCATAGTTGGTTGGCAGACTTATCACTTGGACAATATCTCTCATCCTTTACGCCAACCAATGCGAAATCAACAGAAGAGAGTGCAAACTAATGGAAACCTGATAGCGAAAATATCTCCAAGAATTAAACAAGCACGTGATGGAAAATAATAGGGGGAATAATAATTAAATCTCACATAAACAAATTAATTACTATAAAGATCTATTAATAAATGAATTAAACTGTATTGATTTTACAACAATTAATTTTTTTAATATGAGATTTCAATATAATTTTCTCAACAATAATGAATGAACTTATAGAAGTTGTATGAATTTTTTATGTGAGACTTCGATACAATCCTCTCAATAATAATAAATGAACCTTATAGAAGTTTTATGAACTTATAAAATTGAAAGAAATCTCTCTTATTTTTATTAAAGTCTCCTCACACATGATTATTTGTCACTAAAATATTGTAAATGTAAGGAAGAGTTTCACTTAGGGCCCCTGAATACAAAAATTTTCATTTAGGATTCAATGGAATTTGAAAATGCAATGTAGGCTTGAAGGCCTTTCTTACAGATTTTGTTGTGGATGAAAAGATGTATTTGGCTTTGTCTCAACATCATGTCTATATATGTACAACATAATATTTATGAATTGTCAACACAATATTCATGAATATACAACACATCTAGTGGACATAGTTTAACTTGAAGTAAAATGTACAAGCAAGCAAAGGATGAACACAATATCCATAGATACATAACACAATGTCTATCAATTCTTAACACAATAAATATATGTATATTTGTGACATTTGTACAACATAAAGTCTATAATGAATAACATATTTTTATTGAAACAACATACTTCAAATTAGTGTCCACAAGATGTGTTATACATTTATGAATATTGTGTTGAGTGTGCATGGATATTCCATTGAGAAAAGGGCAAATGCGCCTTTCATTTGCAACAAAATTTGCAAAAAAAGCTCTCATGCCTACAGTGTGCTTTGAAATTCTATTAGATCCTAAATGCATTTTTGTTTTGTTTTGAGGGTCCTAAATGAGATTTCCCTAAATGTAATCGCCTTCTCATAAAATAAGATAGAAACACCCAGGAGGTGTGGTTAGGTACAGCACAGACAGTAGCAATTTGCGCCTTTTAAGCATGATTTTAATGTTCCATTTTTGGAGGTGGATATGGAAACAAAAAAAAAATTCTTCCAAGAGTACAACTCTTTAAATGATATTCAGATTCTTTGAAAAATTAGTTTTACAGCTCTCGACTATGGAAATACCTTGGGCAATTAAAACAAATAGATAGAGAGCGTATTTTGTGCCCCTCCCCCTCTCTAAATATATTACCCCTCTATTTTAAATTATAGGACACTTTTAAAGGAGTTTTTCCTTTTCAAAATATAAAATACTTTGAGTAAATTAAAGTTTCATTAAATACTCCAATTCTAATATTACCCTTTCTCTCTCTATAATTAATTTCTATCACTTCTTTTTTCATTATATTAAATTATGGATATTTTGAAAAGTTTATATTTTTATTTTGGAAAGATAAGGTTGTTAGGTGTATTTAATGAGGTTTATTGATATATAAAATTTTATCTAAAATTGTCTTATAATTTAAGACGAAGGGAGTATAATTTTTTTTTTTGAAGCTCTTCTCCATTTTTATAACAATTTGTTTCATGGCCATGTGTACTATTAGGCCAATGAGGCTGTCGCCTTAGTCCTCCAAAATATTTGCCTATAATTTATATTATTGATCATTATTTTTTCTGTTAAGTATTAATGTTAATTATATATTTTTATTTGAAAATGGGTGTTTTGCTTGAAACAAAAACACGCCAATTATGATCTCAATATCAATCGACCTTATCAAGTGTATTTGTTCTTCTTTTACATTTTATTTGAATTTTTCGTTGCTTTAAATTATTTACTGGATTTGAAGTGACAGAAATGTTAAATATGAAATTTGAATCTGGTTTTAATAAATTTAAAAAAAGAGAGGAAGAAAGTTGAAAAATTGATTCAATAACAAGGTGATGCTCTTGATAAATTCATTACAATTCATAATAAAAAAGATGTAACAACAAGTTCTATTGATGAAAGAAAATTGATAGGAGAATCTCTTATAGATGATGGTGAAAATATTAGTGGTCTAAATTCCAATCAAGACGACAACATGATAAAATTTTAAGAAGAAGATAATTTAATAAAAGAAATTGTTGACCATAATAATAGTATATCAAATGAAACATCTCAAATATTTATGATCTAGGGTAATGGAAAAATATTGATGTAAATTTTTGACATAGGATCCTATCAAAAAGTTAGAAAAATAACATGAAAATAAATAAATAAATAATAACATATTAGGCTTCTTAAATAATTTTCCCTTTTAGGCCTCAAAACTCCATTACATGGTCCTATTTGTTTGAAATACGAGAATGTTTGTTGGTTAAAAAAAAAAAAAAATACTAGAATGTTTTACAAGATCTTTACACACACACAAAGACACCTCTATTTAATGATTTTTCCTTGACCATTAATAAACGATTTAATTATCAAAAGGGTAAAAAACATATAATTTCGAATAGATTTGAAAAGAAGAAGAAGAAACATTTAGATATGCAAATAACTTCTGTAGTCTCCTTGAGTTTGACAAACCGGTGGTAACAATTTAACATGATATCCTTAAGGTGTAAGTAATATGAGAGCGCGTGGAGCCAGTCAGCGCAGCCTATATTGGCTTACATTTCATCTGCATCCGTCAATGCTTTTATTTGCGTTCAATACAGCAATATTCTAGTCGTCGTCACAACTTTGATTCCAGATTCCGACAGCTTTTTCACTGAAATCTATCATCTTTTCTTCGTCACCGGCCACCACCATCTCCATGTCGAGATCCACCACCATCTTCAAGCCGAGATCCACGTCTTGTGACGTGCTTATAAGTCTCTGTTGGGACGAGTACAATAAACAATTCGCAATAAAACTTTCGAAAAGTATACTCTCACATGGGTTGAATTACTCCTTTTGGGATTGGAATCCTCGAGGGCCGTTGGAGGAATTCAGGGTTTATGTTGTTTTCTTCACTAAAGCCTATGCTTCCTCAAAAAGCCACTTGCAGAACCTCGCGGCGATATTGGCGGAGTGCATCTAGTCACCAGCACATACTTTTCTGCCAGTTTTATTCGTCGATCCCTCTGTAGTGAGAAGCAGCTGCTTTCTTAAACTTATGCAAGAGTTCGGACTAGAGGATTCAGACAAGGTTGTGACGCTAATGAACCGACGGCCAGATTTGGTCGTACGACATCCGTAAGTATCCTTATCTGCTTGTCTTCTTGTCCTCATGCTTAATTGACCCGCTGAGATTGTAGGAATTTATTGCAAGTTATATGAAAGATAGTAATTTAAAATCTCACCAAAATATATAATAACAACTTGATTTTTAGAAATGTTATAATTTTTTTTTAAATTTCTAGACATCTTTCTAACATTAATAATTTTATATTTTTAAGTTAAATAACTAAATTAACTCTTTTTTAAAATAAAAAAATAACGGGTTTATATAGAAAGTTATGATTTCTTATTCAATTCTTATGATTCACATAATAAAAGTTGTGACTACTTAAATAAAAGCTGGAACTGATTATTTTTAGAACTTGAACTTCAATTATAAAAAATTTTCATTTGAGAAATTGTAATTTCTTGTTCAATTTTTATAATTTACAAAAATAAAAGTTGTGATTGCTTAAACAAAAGTTGTGATTGAAAAATGGAGCCACACTTTTTATTTTAAACACAGAACAATTTAGTCATTTAACCTAAAATTATTAATTATTAATGTGAAAAAAGTATGTAGGAACTTCATAAAAACTATGACATTTTGAGGGATCCAATTGTCTTGATATATTGTGGTGGGATTTTATTATCATTTTTTCTGAAATATAATATCTTGTTTTTCCAAAGAACATAATATCTTGTTGGTTTATAATTTGATTTTGAGGGTGAAACAAGAAGTTTAGATTTTCTCCAGTCCCCACTTAGACCGAGCTTATTAATTAGCCTACTATGCAGTGCCTCTCCACTACCCGCATACGATATCGTTGGGTTTATGGTTCTCACCCTCCGTAGTTTCTGAAGATTTGAACTCTGTTACTGCGACCAAGGCTGTTGGCTGTTGCTGAGGTTAACTATCTTATTCTCAAAAAGGAAAATGTTTCACTTCACAATTTTGACGATTTGCTGAAGAAGATATGTGGAGAGAAGGTTTTATATTGGCCTATTAGGGAACTACGATATCTGGTTTATGTGTTGGAACCGACTATGTTTTATATCGTGTGTGTGTGTGAGACTGGAATAATGCGATGATTGGGGTTTGGGGATGCAGTGACAGGGTATAATATGAGCAGCCGATAACAAGAAATCAATAGTCAACAATAAATCATTAAGATGATAACTTATCAATAGTTAAGATTTAACAGATATGATTTTGCTTTCAGTTGTGATTTGTTTATGTATATAAGTTATTTTTAAATGTTTATTTTATTGGTAATTATAATTTTTCAATAAAGTGGATCCTTTGAATAGCTTTAGAAAAGAAAGATATTAAAATGTGCTTGCTGCTTATATTAGAGTTATAAAATACATGCATGAGAGAGCCATAGTATGAGTACGCTTGTAATTGAGACAAGATTTTCTTATTATACGGATTGGTTTACATAAGAGATCACCCATAAACGCTTATTTGTTTGACATGGTTATTTTAAATGTTCTGACTAAACTCATTTTAGAGGCCCCTAAGTTCATGCCATAGCAAGCCTTGGCTAGGGAGTCAAGAAAAGAGGTTAATTTTAAAATGGAGTTATAGAGACACTTTAGAATTGAAAGGGTTTTTGCTTAAGTAAGACCAAGAAGAAATGCATGCATGTTTGCAGCCCAATATGCTGAAAGTTCACGGTATTAGAGTCAGTTAATATATTTGTTATGTAATTATAGTGATTTGTTAGTTTGTTAAACATGTGCACATGTGAGTCTCAGATGGTCACACATTACATTTACTACAGCACATTCAGAATAATACAGTTAACCTTTTACCCTTTTCATTTCTCTCTCTTTTCTTGAACCTTAACATCGGATCAAAGCACAAAACCTAACCATGGCGTTTGAAACTTCTTACATGTCCTCCAATTCTAAACTCGCCGTTGGTGATCCGGCGAAGGGAGAGCCTATTATGTTCTCTCATAACATAGTTGTGAACCTTGATGAAAATAATTTTTTGCTTTAGCATTAGCAAGTCGATGCTGCAATCAAAGGTCACAATCTCCAAAGCTTCATCGAGACGTTGCATTCTCTGCCGTCATTCACATCGAACAAAGATCTTGAGTCCGGCATGGTTTCTCGTGTTTCTTCAATGGTATTGTTAAGATCTGCTTGTATTTTCTTGGATTCAATCATTTGTGTCTGAGAGTATGTTCGACTTGTTAGTTGCACAATCTCCTTTGCTGCCTGGAAATGCATCTCCAATTTCTCCTCTGCTCATCATTGAGCTAAGATTCATCTCATCAAAAAGGAGCTTTGTAATACAAAGAAGGAAGATCACTTTATTTCAGAATATGTTTTGCGAGTCAAAGCACTAGCGGACTCACTTATTGCTATTGGTTACTCTGTCTTTAAACATGACCAGATTAAAGTTATCCTTGAAGGATTCCCTGAGGAGTATGAGTCAATCATTTCCTCCATGAACACATAACGTGATCCATTCTCCTAAGTGAGATTGTGATGCTTCTTATTGGTCATGAACTTAAATTGGCCAAATTACTTAAAGCATCTGTTGATTTCGTTCCAAAGATTTCTCTTGCTAATGCTCAATCCAAGGTTGAGCTCGCCCTCTGGTTCTATTTCTTTGCAACCACAACCTACTGTTCTACTTGCTAATGCTTAACCTTAATTTCACCATCATAGTAGTGGTGGTAATCATGGTCGTGGAGGTCATGGCCGTGGTGGCAATTTCTCTCCCCGTCCTACTCTGGTTTGTCAAGTTTGCTTTAAATATGGGCACTCTGCTCTCTTTTGCCATCACAGGTTTGATCAATCCTTTGCTTATCCTCCTCTACCTCATCCCTAGTTAAGCACAAATCAACTATACATATGCTTCTAATCCTACTGCTTATTCTGCCTCTTATGATCCTTATGCTACTTATCCATCTCCTACTCCTGAATATCCTTCTAACACATGAATTGTTGATCTCTGGTGCTATGCACCATACTATACCTCATGTCTCCAATTTGATGCAGGCCACTCTATAGTGCATCTAGCCAAGTTTATTTTGGCAATAGGACCGGTTTGTCTGTACACCATTTAGGTCCATCAGTTTTCTACCTTATGTCCCTCTCACTTTTTACAGCTTAGTAATGTCTTACATGTTCCTTCTGTGATTGATAGTCTTCTTAGTATTCCTCATTTAATTTCTGACAATAATGTTATTGTTGAATTTGGCCTTCATTCTTGTTGTATTCAATCACAGAACAACTGTCAAATTCTTCTCATGGGTAGCCATAAGCCTGATGGCTTATACATGTTTGCTCCTCCATCAGTCTCTGCTTAGGCATCTTGTCCTCCTCATTCCTTTTCCATTACCACAGATGTATCACCTTACACTCATTCACCTACTCTTTTTTATTCTGCTTCTAACGCTGGACATGTTTATGATCATGATTTGTGACTTCAACGTTTAGTGCATTTTCCTAGTACTTTGATTCCTCATTTGTTGAAGAATTGTAATCTTGTGAACTCTTTTCAAAAATTCAATAAAAACATTGCTAGTTTTTGTTTTGCTTGTTGTGTGGGAAAATCTCGTAAACTTGTTTCTCCACCATCCACTACTATTTATAATTCTCCTCTTGAATTGGTGTTTATTGATCTGTGGGGCCTTACTCCTTGTCCTTCTATACATAGTTCTTTGTATTACATTGCATTTATTGATCATTTTTCTCGTTATTGTTGGATTTATCTTTTGAAACGCAAATCTGATTCTTTTTTTTTTGCCTTTCTTAAATTTAAGGCCTCTTATTAAAAATCAGTTGAATACCAAACTTAAAGCCTTACAAAGTGATGGTGGTGATGAATTTTGCTATTTTGATACCTTTCTTCAACATAATGGTATTGCTCATCATTATTCTTGTCCCCATGCTCACTATCAAATGGGCATAGTTGAACAAAGGCAGTGCTACCTTGTTGATATAGCTGGTTTAGCTGTGCTTGTTTTTCCTTTTCTTAGACCTTATCACTCTCATAAACTGATCTCTTTCAAATTTGAACAGTGTACTTTTTTAAGGTATAGCATGTCCCATCATGTTTATAAGTGTCTTGCATCAAATGGGAGAATTTATATTTCTAGAGACATGCAATTTAATAAGTCTAGCTTTTCTTTTCGTTCTGTTTTTGTCAAGTTCTCCACCTACTCCTTCTTCTTTTCCTCTCACTTCTGTACATATACTTCTTTGCCTTCTGCTTTTGCTTTTGTTCCTTCCATTTTTTCATCATGTTCTTCTCCATCCTCTACCTCTTTTTCTTCTCCTTGTCTCGCTTTACCTTGACCTATCTCTAACTTACCTTCCCATATTTTTTTCTCTCCTCCTTCCTCTGAGCCACCTCCTTGTCCTTCTCCTCCTTCACCTCCTACCAACACTCATCCTATGGTTACCTGTTCAAAACATGGAATTTTTAAACCCAAAGTTCTTTCTTCTACCTTTTTTAGTGATGACCCTCCCACTGATCCTTACATTGCTCATCAGGATCCTAAATGGAAACAAGCTATGGTTGAGGAATACGAAGCTCTTCTCAAAAACCAGACATGGTCTCGTTATCCCCCTCCCACTAATCATCTTACGATAGGTTGTAAGTGGATGCTCAGGTGAAAGGACAATCCAAATGGTTCCTAACAAATATAAACCCCATTTTGTTGCCAAAGGTTTTCATCAAACCTATGGTTTTGATTATACAGAAACTTTTGCCCCTGTTATTAAATCTTCAACCATTGGTGCAATTCTTACTTTGGCTTTATCTCATTCTTGGCCTATTTTTCAAGTTGATGTAAATAATGCCTTTTTAAATGGAACTTTGGATGAAGAAGTTTATATGTGTCAACCCCTGGGTTTTAAGTCATCTGATTCGTCTCTAGTTTGCAAGCTGCACAAGAGTCTTTATGCAAAGCTCTTCGTACAGGGTTTAATCATCTTGCCACTGCTCTTAATAAATTTGGTTTTTGTTCAAAGCAGAGATGATCAATCATTGTTCATTCATGCTTCATCTTCTGATCTTACATATGTTCTTGTTTATGTTGATGACATTCTTATCACTGGTAGTTTAGCCTCCCATATTTCTTACTTGAAGACTTGGTTTCATTATGAGTTTGCTCCCAAATACCTAAGTTCTCTTAATTACTTTTGAGAATTGAAGTTAAATCCCATGGCTCTAGTGTTCTTTCACTGTCTCAACAAAAATACTTTAAGGACCTTCTCAACAAAGCTGGTACATATGTCTCAGTGTAAAGGAATTGTCACTCCAATGGTTTCTGTCTCTAAGCTCAACAAAACAAATTCTGTCATTTTTTTGAGTCCTCAGCTGTATAGATCTATTGTTGGTGCTATGCAGCATGTTACCATTACTAGACTAGAATTATCATTCATTGTTAATAAAGTATGTCAGTTTATGCAAGCACCTTAGGTCAATCACTAGCAAGCTGTGAAATGAAAATTCTTGATTATCTCAAAGGGACTCTTACACGTGGTTTATATTTCTCCAAGCAGTCTAATCTGGGTTTTCAAGCATATTGTAATGCTGACTGGGGTAGTGATCCTGATGATCATTGCTCTATTTCTAGCTCTTGTATTTTTCTTGGTGGTAAATTGATTTATTGGTTTGCAAAGAAGCAACCCATTGTGGCTAGATCTAGTGCTGAAGCTGAGTATAAAAGTCTTGCTAATGTCACAGCTGAACTTACATGGCTCCAAAGTCTTCTTATTGAATTATGAGTCACTCCCAGATCACTGGTTCCTCTTATTTGTGTGATAATATGAGTGCTGTACAGTTGGCTCACAATCCTGTCCATCATCATCGCACAAATTAAAGCATACGGAGCTTGACTTATTCTTTGTTGATGACAAAGTCTTACAGAAGTAGATCCAAGTAGAATTTGTGCCTTCTGCAGACCAAAGTGCGGATATTTTTACCAAGCCTCTGTCTCTTGCTCGCTTTACCACACTAAAGACCAAGTTGAAAGTTTTGGATGTTGGCTAGCTCCCTAGGTTTGTGGGTGGCTATTAGAGAATATTCTTATCTTTGTTATCCCGCCTTTGGTTTATGGGCGGCTACTAAGTTAGTTAATATATTTGTTATGTAATTTAGTGATTTGTTAGTTGTTATACCTGTACATGTGTGCGTCTTAGATGGCCACACATTATATACAGTGTAACACATTCAGAACAATACAATTAGCAGGAGTCCTAATTATCTTGGAAAATAACGAAATGATGAACCTATTATTTGTCTTCCATCGCTAATGTTTGAGAACACTCACATGAGGCACAACTGAGATTTAGGATAAATTGTACAACGCATGAATTACAGAAATAGTATACTAGTTTTGCTAGATAATGAGATATAAATTTTATAGCGGCAAATAATTGTCAAGTAAATGACAAGTATAGCGTTAAGATTACTTTTTTTCATATATATAAGGATATAATGGTCAATTAACTATGTTTTCCTTCAAAATAAATATGATTTTATATTCTTTTACAATAAATATTTGTGTCCATTTATGAAACTTATTTTCATTTTTTTTTTATATTATCCTCCCTTTACGTTTTCCATCATTTGCTAATTGCTTCAAACCTTGCTTTGGTGTACATAGTAGTGTTGCTCAGTTTTCTTCTTTCTCTTTCCTCTTTTTCAGGAGGAATCTACAACGAGTTTTAAACACAATTTACAAGGAACTCGACATTTCATCTAGGCAGAATTCTTGGCCTTCTCGGTAACATTCTTTCTGCTCTTTATATAGGTGCTGTTGCTACTACAAAAAAAAGCCTACTAGAGTGCTTCTGTTTGACCTACAAAAATGCTCCTTATTTAGACACTTGTATATACAAAGACTCAAAGAGTACTTTTAGGTCACCTTACCAGAGCACTTCCAAGCCAAAGCGCTCCTGTAAGTTTCACTTTTGAATTGCTTTTTCTCATAAGTGCTCTTCTAGGTTATCCTACCGAATAGGTAACCTCACACATAATTCATTATCATTATTCAATTATGAACATAATAATTTATAGGGCATCATTTATAATAGTTATGTGCAACACATGATAATAGACAAGATTGTTAACCCATTTGTTGCTCTATCCAACCTTATACTACGCTGACTGAAAGTACTATAGGCTTATTCACTGTCTAGTCCACACACTTGACTGGCCCAAGCATCTCTAGCATTAGAGATGTACCTGGCCAAAGGGCCTAGCTAGGAGGTGTTATTGTCACATGTTCACCTTTTACAAATCTAGTTAGATAAGTATTATTGAGAGATACAGCCCTGAGGCATCATTGTCCCATGTTCCCTCTTTACAAACCCAGTTTGGTAAATTTTGAGTAATGGAGCTTTGAAAAGGCCAACCATTTTTGTGAAATAGAGGTAAATCACATGGTCACTGCACATATCAACATTATCATCCTCCCTCAACCCATCACCACTGCATATCATGCATTTGCAATAATCATAGTGCATACGAGTAGGCTTTAAAGGAAATAAAGTACTTCACTGAATCATAACAAATAAGTTACAAGCATGTTTAAAAGGAAGGAACAACTCTAGGATATTTCATAATAATAACCAAAATTCACAAACATGCTTAAAAAGGAAACTACTATATCATGATTTTATCACAAATATATAACTACTAGCATGCTTGATAGGAGCAAAATTCAACAATCACACCCTTTTACAGTTTCTCAACCGTATATCATATAGTTTATACACCTATATCATAATGAACTAGACAAAATTATACCCAAGCATACTTGCATAAATTAGAATACTAAACAAAGCTTGCACAAACATGAAAACCCTAAGTTATATGTTCTTATTTAGCTTACAAGTAGTTACACAACAATTCAAACAATAAGAGCTCTTAATAAGAATCTACAAAAATAACGCACGCAAAAGTATTAATATATAATTTAAAGCCTAATAGTTTATCTTATTTTAGCTAAATTCTGCTTTCTTAAATAATTATATATTCTAACTCCGACTAACATGAAATAATCTCATTCCTAGATCTCAAAATCAATTAATTATTTCTCTAAACTTTAATTAACTCTTATGTTACCAGGTGAGTAGAAATGCGTCTTTTCTCATCTTTCTCTTCTATATCGAATGCTTTTCCTAATTATCATCCTTGAACCTCAAAAGCCATTAATTAAATTTCTAAATCTCAATTTACTCTTCTAACCCAAAATTAAATTCAATTAATTATTACCTCATAGGGATAAAAACTTAGGATGTTATAGGTTGGGGAAGGATGGAATTATTGATACGAGTCACCACCAAAATGAAAATTGTTGGGATTTAATCAAAGCCCATACTTGCATAACCTTTCGACTTTAATTTCTAAGCATTGAGATGTGACTTTTGCCCTCAGTAGATTTAGCCACTATATCATCCACATACATCTCAATCTCTTTATACATCATATTATGAAAGAGTAGTACTCCCATAGCTCGTTGGCAAATAGCCCTAACATTCTTCAATCCAAAAAAACATTACTCAATAATAGTTAGTCCCCTATTGTGTGACAAAGGGGTCTTTTCTCTGTCCTCATCATTCATGGAGATTTGGTTATACCTTGAGTGTTCGTCTCCATGAATAATTGGTTATGGCTTTGAGCTATATTATTGACAAGGATGTCAATATGAGACAAAAAACATTCTTTGAACTAGACTTATTTAAGTCTCAATAATCAACACAAATTCGAAACCTGCCATCCTTTTTTTGGGATGAGAACAATGTTTGCCATCCATTGAGGGTGCTTGGCCACTTCTAAGAAGTTGCCTCCAATAGCTTTGTCATCTCATCTTATGCCGTGAGGAAACATATCTGCAGTCAATCTTCTCAATTTTTCTTTCTTTGGTTTGATGTCGGGAAATAAAGAATTCATGATAAGAAGACGAGAACACATCCAAGTATTTTTTGAAAAGGTTAATCATTTTTTCTGTTTTTGGTTTTTCTACAATCTTTAGTTCTTTCTTATCCTCCTCAGCCCTCATGTTTATAGAGCCCTAAAAATATTAAAATAATAATAATTCAAGCCCTTATCTAATATTAATGAAAGAAAATAAAGATAATCTAGATTTACCTAGATATCCTATTTTATTGAAAATAAATAAAATCCAAAATAATCCTAAAAATATTATAAGGCAATCATCAAATTAAATCCTGATTAACCTAATGGATATTCTAAGTATCTTTATTCAAATAATCCTAATAAAATAATACTAATTATATATTATTCCATATTCCACCGGATCCTCTTCTTATATGCTTGTCAAACAAATTGGTCAAATCCTTAACCATAAATGTTTGGATGGATAACATATATAATAAAGGATTAAGATTCATTTTTACCCTTAAACCTTTTATTTAAGGAGCTTTGGGCATCTTGTATTAATAAGTGGGGTAATTGTCCTTAAACTACTTTTTGAGAAGTAAAAAATTCCTTCCATCAATCACTCGTTAACTTTTTCATTTTCTGGTAATGCAACACGTGTATGAGACTTGCACACACATGACATGTAGGGCTCTAACTATGTCATTTAGTGTTAATTTGTCCTTAAACTCTTTTTTCACAAGCATTAGGTACTTTGAAGCCTTGTTAAGATAATATTTAATAAATAAAATATTAAATATTTTAATATTTAATAATTTAAATATTATTATTTATAAATAATTATTCAAAATTATAAATTTTTTAAATATTAACAGTTCAAATAAGTTTTACAGAAATTTATAAATGACTTGTAAATTGTGTGTGAAATTTATTACCACCATCGTTACATTCCATTCCTATGATGGCGTTTTGATAAGCTATGGTTTCAAGTCCATTTTCTTTTTTGGAGCCCTAAGTGAGTTGGACCATACCACTTGGTTGGTTTTATGAGGATTAGTTATCTTGCACCTGGAGGAGCTAAATATTTCATGTAAAAATCAAACTTGCCAAACGGCTCATGAATTTATTTGTGAATATTATTATTTTCAAATCTTCACACACAATTTAAAAGTCATCCATAAATTTCTATAAAACTAGTTTGAGTTGTTAATATTTTAAAAAAATAATTTATAAATTTTGGATGAATATTTATAAATAACAATATTTAAATTATTAAATTTTAAAAATACTTAAAATTTTAATAATATTTATTAAATTTTATTTTAATAAGACTTAAGGGTGCCCGATGTTCCTGAAAAAAAAAGTTAAAGAGCAAATTAACACCCACACACATGTCACATTAGTAGAATAAAGTTAATGGGTGATTAACGAAAGGAGTTTTTTGCTCCTTAGAAAAATGGTTCAAGGAAAAAATTGCCCTAATTAACAATACAAGGTAACCCAGCACTTCTCCAAAAAAAAAAAAGTTCAAAGGTAAAAATGAAGATTAACCCTATAATAAAGGAAGGGGACAGTATATATATATTGAAGTTTTTGTTATAATTAGTGTTCATAAATTATGCAAACTGCAATTTTTTCGCTTCACTATGTGTGTGTGTATAATTGTGTTTGTAATTTTTATGTAGAAGGTAATGATAAGAAAAACAAAGAAAAACAAAATTATGGGAAGGCCGTATATTATAAAGAGCATTAGAGGGAGTACATTAGAAGCCCTAAACCCTATTTGATAAAAGATTTTTAGCCCAGTTTTCCAAATGAACTCCAATTCTTCTTAGCATTTAGTTATATGTCCAGAAAATATACCCTCATTTTTCATTGTTCAGATTTCATATGTATTTCAAAAACTAGTGGTAGAGAAAGAGCAGAATGCGTGAGGCTTTTTGATCTGACTACTGAAGGGAAAAAAACACACGCAAGCACGAGAAACTGACTTCCAATTTTTCTCTCTCAAGACACGTAAATTATGGATCTCTCAAGACACGTAAATTATGGAACCAATTTACTTCTGCATGCGTACAAGTAATTTCACACTCATTGTACCTATCTGAAACAGTATAGCTAAAATTTTTTGTTTTCTTTTCTCTTGTACAGGAGATCACAAAATTTTATTGATTCAATAGTTCAGAAAATAGATAAATCAGATCAAATAGCTCCTGTTGGGATACGATATAACCGTGTAGAAGAAGTAATAAGGCTTCTCGATTTAGGCTCTAAGGATGTTGTCCGAGTTATTGGGATTAGTGGGATGGGGGGAGTAGGGAAGACAGCTCTGGCCGGAGATGTGTTTCACAAGATCTCTCACAGTTTTGATTATACTTGTTTCCTCACCGATGTAACCGATTCCCTTCTTTCAGAAGTACTTCGCGCGGCTCTCCAAGAAGAATATGTAGATGAGTACAATATTGATGGTAGGCTAAGATACCACAGGATGCTTATAGTTTTTGATGATGTTGAAGATGTTGATAAGCTAGTACATTTAAGGCATTTGACAAGAATTCGCACTTGGCTGGGAGGAGGAAGTAGAATAATCATAATAAGCAGAGATCAACATGTTCTTAAAATGCTTGGAGTGGATGAAATTCACAAGGTGGAACTTTTGAATAAAAATGAAGCTCTCAGACTTTTTGTCAAACAGTTTTCAATAGTCGTTATCCTTTGAGAGGTTATGAGGATCTGACCCTCGATGCTCTCAAATATGCTGATGGGCTTCCATTAGCAATTAAATCAGTAGGTTCATTGTTGCAAAACCGAAGTTTCTCAGAGTGGCAGAATGAGTTGGCCAAACTGCAAGTGGTTCCTGACTCTTCAGTTCTCAAGGTGCTTCAAAAAAGTTTTGATGGACTAGGCTGGAACGAAAAGACAATTTTTCTTGATATTGCATGTTGTTTTGCAGGGCAGAATATTAATTATGTGCAGCAAATTCTGAGTAATCGAGGCCAACTTGTAATGTTATTCCGTACATATTTATCATTTGATGTTGAACCAATAATCAGAGTTCTTATTGATAAATCACTTGTAAGCATAGTACACAAAAAAATCGAGATGCATTCTTTGCTACAAAAAATGGGAAAAGAAATTGTTAGGCAAGAATCTAAGGACCCTGGAAAGCGGAGTAGGATCTGGTGTTATGAAGATTTTCGTCATATCATGGAGACAAACACGGTAAGTTTTCTTTGAGGTTTTACTTTTTTACTTTAAGTAAATTATTGCTTTATTCTCCAAGATATGTTTTTGTTAGATTAGTTCCTGGCAAATATATTGTCATTACCAAATCAGATAGTGTATTGAAAGGAAAATTAATTGGGAGAATGAAATTTAAGGTTCTCTCAAGAGAATTTATTGCAATAAGGGTCCATTAATTTTGCATCGGATATTGTTTTGCATCTAGATAGAATGTATTGAAAGGAAAATTAATTCTCAGTCCATTAATCCATTTGTGTACCTCCATTTAACTGGAGAGAGTTGTACAAATTAACACTTAATAGAATATTCGTAGTTGATTGAGATGGTTTTAGCAACCTATCTAGATGCTTGCTAAAAAGTTCACTTCCCTGCCGTTGCTATGTTTTTATTTCACTTCCCTTGATCCTTGTTAAATTGTTCTCACAATTAGATGTGGTGCTGAATTATTGCTTTAGAGAATCGCATCCAAAGACCCCCCAAGAGAATTATTAGTAGACAAGGACTAACAACAAATCACTATTTGAAAAAAAAACAAGTCTCTATTACCATATTAACAACCAACAATTTCATATTGGTCTTTTTGTTTGTGAATAATTTTTTGGGGAGGTCCTTGGATATGATTCTTCCTTATTACTTCCATGAACCCATGCATTAATTTCTTTCTGCCTGAGTACCATGATAAACCACAACTGCAAACCCTAAATTTAGCATTTTCCTAAAACAAGTATTCCTTCTAAAAGCATGTAAGTAACCATCCTCTCCACCTATAAACTATTTGGTAACATGCATGGTTCACTCCCAACCAACGAACAAATTTCGATCAGCAAGTCATTAACCCATTAGCATTGGAAAATGATGTTAATTGTTAGCTTTTAATGAATAACTTTCATGAAACGAATATGGTTTAAGAACAAAAAGATATTTTATTATTTATCTAATTTCTTCCTAAGAAAATTGAAGTACATGATTTTGATATCTCAATTCACTTTGTGGATCCTATTTATATTCAGGGAACTGAAGATATCGAAGTCATTGTACTCTTGAATGAAGAATATCCACTAGAGGCTCCATTGAACGCTGAAGGTTTATCAAAAATGTCGAATCTTAGAGTCGCTATATTTTATAATGTGAATTTTTCAGGAAGCCTCAATGGAGATAGACGACTACTGTCTCTCCATTTGGGATATCTTTCTTGGCACAGATATCCTTTTGCTTTTTGCCGGCATATTTTGAGGCAAATGAACTTGAGCACTTAATCTTGGAAGATAGCTGCATCACACAACTCTCCAGGGACGACAAAAAGGTGTTGATATTTGATAATGCTCTTTCTGTTGCATGAATTAAAACGACATCGTTATCATAAGAAAAAGCTTTTTTTTTCATAATAAGAAAAAGCTTTTTTTGTGCTTAACTTTGATCTTCCAAAATCTAGATTTCTTATTTTTTTTTTATCGAAAAAATGTTCCTTCTGCAAGATTTCTCCTAATGACAAATAGGAGGGCTTAACATATTAACTGATTAAAAGTGTCACTTCAAAAGATTTCGTCTCAAAGCAATGCTGTTTTTATACCTCTATAATGATATATTTCAATACATTTCATTACATGCATCTGCTCATCCATCTTTTTTAGCTACGACAACACATTAAATATGAAATTCTCCTTTGGAAGTTACAAACAAATTTTTCAAACTTTCAAGCATCAATTTACACAAGATATATCTTTAAAATGACGATATCAATTCTCTCATTTTATTTTTATATCTCTGTGCACTGAAATGGTATTAATTAGTTGTTTGATGTTCTACCCAGATACGTATGTGGGGGCTGAGGAGTTTGAACCTCAGTGGCTCTAAAAATTTTGAGAAGGCTCCAGATTTTGAGCGGCTTCCAAAGCTTGAGAGGGTAGACTTTGAAGGATGTACTTCATTATTGCAGCTTGATCCAATTATTTCATCTCTTAAAAGTCTTCAGTATTTGAATTTGAGAAACTGCACAAATCTAGTGAGTATCCCAAATGAATTATTTGGCAAAAGCTCTCTTGAATTTCTGAATCTGGCTGGTTGCTCCAAATTTGCTGAATGTTTGAGCTTCAACAAACGTTTGAACACATTGCCTCCTATCTTGGTGTAGACTTCTAAAATTACCATGTTTTTTGTTCTAGTCTTGTGTCTCTGTGCGTGTGATATACAATAGTTGCCATGTCTCACTGTGATGGCTCTTGACCCATATATATAGTACTAGTAATGTAGTTTAAATTGGAGCTTTTTTGAAGCCATGTGTATCTTTGGAATGAGATATGATTATCATCCTATATTAATGATAACATTAATGTTGCTCTTATTTTAAAACATTTGTCTCTGCCATTTAGTCACGCATTTTATTTTTTGAGTTATATTCTTTCAGATTTTAAAGGTGACCTTTAAATGATTCGCCAAGGAGAAGAAATAGGGTGCCTATTATAACACCACTGCGGGGAAAAAAAAAAAAAAAGCGTGGAGTTCCCACATATTGAAAGGTAAATTAATTCTTGTTCCTAGACTAGACTAGGTCAAGCTAGGTTATGGGTCCTTAAATGATGATGATACATGTTTCCTTTCTAACGTAAGGGAGTATGAATTCTTTCCACGATCACTTTAATAAAATAGCACATTTCTCTCAAATTATTCAAAGAGAAAAAATAAAAATTGAGAGAAAAGCGATTTCTTTCAGATTTTCTTTCTAAAAAACGATTAAAAATTCACAAAAAAATTTCTCTCTCTCAAAATGTTATAATCCAAGAAAAAAATGTATCTTATCCTACAGAACTTTAGTTTAATTTAATTAGTTGAGAGAAATATTCTTCACTACGTGAGCGCATTTATTTTAGGCTCTACCTTTAATGTCTATTTTATTACCAGTTGAACTACAATGAATTAACAAAATTAAGTATATATTACTAAACTATACACTTTTCTAAAGTTTATATTATATTATTTAAAAATTTAATTATAATATAGGAATGATTTCAATTTATTTGAACTTATAAAATAATTCAAATTGTTTTAAATAATTTAATCAATACTTTTATAATATTATTTAATTTTCAAATATTTTTACAAAATTACTTAATATAATTTATAATTATGTTTAAATTTTTATTTTTAAGAAAAACACTTTTAGTAGCAACAATTTATTTTTACCAAAGAAAAATTTTAACGACAAATTTTATTTCTCAATAAGTGATTAAAATATTTTGCATACAAAAAACAAAAAGAAAAATTGTCTAGCAGACCTATCAAAAATGTGAACCAAAACAAGATGCTTGCACATTATTTTTGTAATCAGTAAGACTACAACTTAATGTTATTTTTGAGAGTCACTTAATTTTGTATATTTTAAAACCAAATAAGTTATATTATATATATATATATATATATTCAATTTCATAAATAATTTTTCTCAATTGGAGAAAATGAAATATAATGCAATACTCCTTTCGTCTTTATATATAAGAAGTTTTCTAGAATTTTTTTTGTCCCTTAATATAAAAGATTGTTAGCATATTTTTTTAATAAATGGATCATTATATCCTCATTAAATTAAAAAGAGAAAAAGATAAGTACTCTCATCAATTTACTTTGGAAAAAGAAATTTATTTTTTATTTACAATAATTAGGAGCAAAATTGAAATATTACTGTGCTTATAATTATATAACCAACTTTTATTAGTTCGTGTGATTCAATTAAAAATATTTTATATATAAGAACAGAAGGAGTATAATTTAAAGTTATTTATAGATAATTTTTTTATCAAACTCTCTTATATAGGATAGATGTTAGTGAATGTATAACAAATTAATATTGATATTATTATATAAATTAAAATCATTTATTATAAAATGATATAATATTCTAACATATAGGTTCTCTCTCTCTCTCTCTCTCTATATATATATATATAATTATTAGTTTATTAACACTATTTCATACCTCCCATGTCTACTCCCTCTTGTTTGTTTTTTATTACATACATGTATCTTCTTATTAGAAATAATCTTGTTTGACACACAATCAAGAACTAAATTTGGACAGCCCCTTTGAGCAAGGATTCAAACATTAGCTCAATGGTAACGCGAGACCTAACCCTTATTGGCATCTACCCCCTCTTGTTTTATAATCACTTTGTTCATATTTTGGATCATATATATAATTTGATAATATGCAAAACATGAGGATTAATAATATATATAGTATGTATTTTATAGTTTCTTTTGGAAAAATTAGAGATAAATTTAAAATTTTCTTATGATAAAATTTGAGAGCAAGTTTCTCTGAAAAAGATATAAGATGAACTTTAAAATTTCTCTTATATTGTTATAGAAAAAAAGTTTAAATACTTCAATAGACACTTTTCTCTCTGTATTTTTTTGGAAGAAATTCTTTCTAATTTGTTCAAGAGAAATTTTCTCTTGGAAAAAGCCAAGAGAATATTTCTCTCACTTTAGTTCAAGTGAAAGTTATCTCGGCTTTTTTTGAGAGAATATTTCTTTTCATATTATCTGAGAGAATTCATTAAATTTCTCTCAGATTTTTTTGAGAGAATGCTTCCCAACAAATCTAAGAAAAAACTTAATGAGTTTTTATTTTTATTTATTTCATTACCAATTTTTTGTTTCTATCAAACATTTTTCATGGATTTTACTGAGAGAAAATTTCTCTCTATTTATGTTTCTGTGAGAAATTCTGTGATTAATTTCTTTGAACAAGCTTTCTAAAAGAACTTTCCTCCAATATTTTTTTGAGAGAAAATTTGAGAAAATTACTGTTTTCTTATATTGCCCTTCCTAACCATCATCACATTAATTAATACTCAAATTTACTAAATTAACCCTGATTAATTGATGTAATCAAGGAATTAAAATCCAAAATGTTACAACACATCCTAATGAATACAAATAAATTTCTTTCCACAACTAACACAACCCCAATCTACTATAACCATTCAAAATTCAAAAACACCAAAATTCATATCTTAAAGTTTCTCCAAACCTCATCATTTATCAATTATCACCAATTTCCTTCATACTACTTTAGCCATAACTAACTATTTAAATGAGATATGATTCTCTCTCAGACTTTTCAACAAACACCGAATGTGTATTAATTCCTAATTCTTTCAGTGGAGCTTTTTAACCCTCAAATCATTTACCCAATAATTTTCAGCATCAAATTCAGTAGGGGGTGAAGGAGTTTGGCACAGGCCTAGTAGAAACATAGACCATAATCAGTCAACGCAAAGCACTACAATCATTTACAAAGCTCGTAACTCGTGGACCAAGACAAAGAATGTAAGAGAACAATGCAACGACAGAAGGGCATCATCGTTTTGATGGCCTTCGAGCACTGCGAACAGAAGGTAGGAAGAGCAATAAAAAAACCCAATGCTAGTCGAAACTCAAGAAACCATAGGTAAAAAAAAAAAAAAAAAAAAGGAATAGTAGAAGGGAGATCTTCGGGTTACCTGGCGAGTAGCTGAGGGGGACAATGCCATGACATACTGGTACCAAGAAAACAAAAGAAACGCAAGAAAGAAAAAGAGAAAAGAGTGAGGAGTAACTGAAGGAGTAAAGGCGAGGGTTTAAATCAGGTTTCGAAGGCGGAAGCGATCTCCTCACTCCAACGAGACGTGACATAGGCACTCTAGGAATTCAAATTCAAACCAGAGCGTCATTGCCTATTCTCTAAACTCTAATTTACTCAGGCACTTGAAGAAAATTGTGGTAAAGGATCTTGGAAATTTATAACCACTAATCACTAACACATTTGAGGGGACAGCTTTTTCTCTGGTACGCCTAACAAACAAACTCAAAGGGATACGATGCTCCGAAATGCGACCAACAAATATATTATATGCTTTGACTATAAATTAACCGTTCAGTTGGAGTGTTTAGAGTTGAACATGTCTATGTCAAGTTTTTGCATCACCTTCATTGGGACATTTTTTTTTTGGGGGGTAAGAAGCGCCAAAGCCCAATATTCATTGGGAAAAAATTGTTGCTTAATAAATGAGTTATTCACGGCTTCACGCTCTAGAATTAAACTAGAAGCTAACAATATTTATTTGAATTTGCTAGCTACTTCAACTTATTTTGGAACTGATCGCAATCAAATATCTTTTTATTTTTGTATATAAATATATAACTAAGCTTGATTAAACTAAAATTTTACCACTATCCACTAACATCATACGAATTATGTAATTGCCCTAGTGGACGAATCACACAAAGTCGTTTGTATTATGTCCAATTTTTTTGATTTTCTATCCTATTGGCTCAACACTTAATGTCATTTGCTTAGTAAGTCTAAAATGATCAAACAAAGAAGAAAAGAATTTATATACATGTGTGTATTTATATATCGTTCTGAATCGGTCTTCTATTGGCTCAACAATTTATAGTTTGTTATATATAAAAAAAACTGTTAAATCTCCAAACGTCAGGTTCCAGTTTTCCAATAATGGATTCGTGTTTCTTTTTTATAATATATACAAAGGCAAGCAAAAGCTTGAGAAAGATAAGTCTAGGATTTACATCCTAGACAAAAATACCCGAACTGAGTGAAACAACGGACTTCCAAAACTGTCCATCATCATCATCTTCTAACAAGAGCATGTGGAAATATCTTGTGGCCCTTAGTTTCTGTTCTAAAGAAAATGCCATGATTATGAATTGGCTTTTGGATGCTCCAGAGAAAAGAAGGCTTATACATAGATATACAATTATTCACGCATCGAAGGCCAAGAAACTTGAAAGAAGCATCCTAATCCCAAAGCATAAAAAGTCCATTATTCACGCACCAAAGGCTAAGAAACCTACAAGAAGCTTCCTAATCCCTTATAATGATCAATTGTCAATGGTGATCAACTAAACAATCCGTTTGGATGCTTCATCCTCTTCCCTACCACCACACATGCATCTTCCAATAAATTAAGCGTCACTAAACTAATAATTTAATGAGAATTTATAGTGGAGAGAGAACAAATTGGCAAGAGCAAAATATTATATCTTAATTTAAAATTTTAAGATTTGAGTTTAATTATTGGTCACTCCTTTTATTATATATTAATCATTAATTTCAACTTTTTATTTGATATAAAAAATTTTTACATCGACTCAAGACTGCTCATACTTGGAAATCCTGATGTATAATTTTGTAATTTTATAGAGGTTGATGAGTAGTTTATTATATTGGTGTAGTATCAACAAAGATCTTGTACGTTTACATCGTGTTGACATTATTAGCAACAAATCTAGATCTCTCTCCGACTCCATGTAACTGATCATACT